ATGGGGGTATTGGTTAATAAGTTTTAGAGAGGTTCACAAAAAACTATTTTATAGAAATTTAATATGAATTTTATGTAGATGGGATGAGATTCAGCAAAAACTAAAATGTATTTTATTTGTAATTGTTTTATATTTCTGACTTTATATTGATTAAATTTTCATTAATGATTATTATGAATATTCATCAATCAGTAGTTGTTATAGCAACATTAAACAATAATACGCAAATGATGATAACAAATCATCTTTTTTGAGGACTATAATAAAGATTAAGATCCAGTTTGTGTAGGAGTGATCAAATTAAGCACAAGATCTATGAACAAAACATATTAATGAATGTTTTATCAATTATTCAATAGTTTGTGTAGGAGTGATTGAAGTGAGCATTAAGGACAAGATCTATGAACAAAACATACTAACAAATATTTATCAATTATTCAATAGTTTGTGTAGGAGTGATTGAAGTAATCATTAAGAACAAGATCTATAAACAAAATTTACTAACAAACATTTTGTCAATTATTTGATAATTTGTATAGGAATGATCAAAGTAAGCATTAAGGACAAGATCTATGAACAAAATATTCAATAGTTTGTGTAGGAGTGATCGAAGTAAGCACTAAGGACAAGATCTATAAACAAAATACACAAACATTTTATCAATTATTCAATAGTTTATATAGGAGTGATCAAAGTAAATAAAATATACTAACAAATGTTTTATCAATTATTCAATAGTTTGTAGAGTGATCGAAGTAAGAGTTAAGGACAAGATCTATGAACAAAACATACTAATGAACATTTTATCAATTATTCAATAGTTGTATGGGAGTGATCGAATTAAGTGTTAAAGACAAGATCTATGAAGCAAGTTTTACAAAAATGAACATTTTATCAATCATTCAATAGTTATGTTTGTTATTTATTTATGTATATAAATTTCTCTTTTTAACTTATATTTAATAATATTGCTATGATAAATAATTAAATGAATAAAGTCAGAGATAAAACACCTTTTAATTTAATCATTATTGTTGCTTGTTTATTATTTCTAATCATTATTTATGTATATAGGTAAAGAAAATTTTTAAAATCTATTTATTTATAAAATCTGTGAATATTCATAATAATGTAATATTTGGACATTTATTTCTGCCTATACTTTTATACTTGCAATTGGATGCATCAAACAAAATTTTACGCATATGAATATAAATGCAAAATTTGACTTTGAGGGTCATATTATTTTTGGTTTTATTAACAACCTGCCTTAAAAATTTTCTTAAAGCAGATACATATGATAAAGAAGTTAATCTCAAATTTGGTAGTGGTTGCTACACAGCAAGGGTATCAAATGAGGGTGTGAAGACATTCAATTATAAAATTTTACTATGATGCAGATCATCCAAATTTTACTATGTTTTGCAACCTCCTATAGATCGGTGGGAAATGTCCTGTGACTGTTAAGGGATAATGTTTGATTAAACATGTTAGCTGAAATTGCTTCTCTTAATAAATGATCATCACTGAATCCAAAATGCTGAAATAGTCTTACATAATTGCCGAAATTAACTTTATTAGTATCTGAAATTGTATCCAAAATTATTTGAACACTTTAGCTCAATAGCCAAAATCCTAGGTGGTTTTTTTGTGTTTATAAATAAAGAATGTCCTAAATCCGAAATTGCCTGCTGAAATTGATTTTTTCAAAAACCATTTCGGCTAACATGTTTAGTTTTGATGATATATATGTGTAACATTAAAAAATCCGCACATAGTAATTTTCTATATTGACCTGAACTATGTTTGATGATCAACCATTGTGACCAACCCCAATAACATATAGTATTCCTTTGTGTATTGTCTGGGTCTTTAGAGTTTTGTATATTTTGCACTAAAACTTCATTCAACACTATCTTCTTTTCTGAGTTTTTAGTAATTGCTTTACAACAGGTGTCAGATTCAATTAAATTTTCCTATCACAAACAAATGGTTAGGTGCTTTCACACGCCTTTGTAACTATGGAATTTTTTCCACAGATGAAGGCACCCATAAATTGGAAGGCTTTTATAAGGTGGGCAAAAACTTATCACATCTCCCTGAGCTACAGATTCTTACTGCTTTAATGGTTCTATATGTTTACATGGCACTCCTAATATTACAATGCTAGAGTTACAACTTCTTGGTTGCATAGCCATCTTCACCCTAGAGGTAGGATCATTGCAGAAAAATTTTCGACTAACATGCATATCCAGCCAATTCAAGTACAGTGAAGGGAAGATTGAGATTCATGCAAGTGTCCTTGGCAATGATGCAGTCTTGATAAATCCCAAGGCCTTGGGACCTCTCCCTGGAATTTAGTTGCATCGCCATATCATCAGAGGCAGTGTGGTCAGTTTAGCCTTATGTATACATGAGGAACATATGAGAACAACTGTAAAGTGTTAAAGGCAGTGTGTGCCTTAACATTTGCCAATTTCCAATAATCAAACACTGCATATTGAAATGTTCCTATTTTTAACAGTCATGTTGCCTTGACATCTTATTGTTATTTAATATTAATAACAGTTACAAAAAGCAAAATATTACCAATCATTTATTTATTTATTATCTTGATAAGAATCATATAATAATTACACAAAGTTCTGCTCCACGTTTGGATTTCAACAAGATATTTTATAAAAAAAGGCACATATCAATACAAAAAAAAATTGTGCATCTCTCATTATCACATCTTTTAGAACCAACAAGATGAATGTTGTTTGGTATGATGGATTCAAAAAAAAAAAAAAAAAGTATCTTGTTTGTACAACCATACATTATAAATAAAATTTTTACATCATTCATGTTTCAATCAATAATTATTTTTTTTCCTTCACAAAAAAATAAATGAAAAAAAGAACATAAAGATAGGAGAAGCAAGTAAGTACTATTTATTAGTTATAGCTCACCATTCTAATTTGATTAATTATTTTAATTTCTTTGATTCCTTTGTATTTATTTTTTAGAGCACTACCAGGTCCATCAAAAGAACACCAACAGGTAGGAAATTAATCATTTTCCTTCCAATTGGACAAATTGATTATTTTACTCTTGATCTCTTAATGTAATAAAATTTAATAATGTTATTTTGGATTAATTAGGCTGGAAATATTATTAAGGATTTCAAAAATCGATGAGCAACAGATATGACTAGGGTTTGTATTCATGAATATCATAAGGGGATCACACAGGGTCACACACTATTAAAATCAAGTGATCAACTGATGTTTTTAAGGGATTTTTTGCTGTTTTAATAGTGTGTAACCCCCTTAATGATATTCATGATATTCATGAATAAAAACCCTAGATATGACATCAGTATTGAAAAAATAAATAATGCATTGGAAAATAAAAAGGATCTTATACATGATATCAATGAATATGATGAAGTAAGCTTTAGAAAAAAAATTTTTTGTTTGATCATAATTTGTTTATTTTACATTTTTATTTGCCAACCACAGATATTGAAAGATGCTGATATTTGAGAGATTAGTGAAAGTTCTTTTGATGATCAAGAAAGTTTTGGTTATTCTTCTAAAAATGGAACTGAAAACATCATTACAACTACTAATATAATTAATAGAGTGGAAGAATTTAGTGAAAGTGATAGTAACTACATCTGGAAAATATAAAAAAATTTTACACATGTCAATTGTAAGTTTAATAATAAAAAAGTGTAAAACTTATGTCAGCACTATAGATGGGTGCCTAAACTAAATTATTTAGACAATGTCTAAAATATAAATTAATTTAGACATTTATACAATCATGGTCTCAATTGTCTAAAATATTGAAATTGAATTTTTTATATTTTTATTGGATAATTTACTGAATTTTGTGGATTTTGTGAATATCCACATGACTTTTAGTTATATTTATAGCAAATAATTACTATTTATATTAATTTAGACATTTAGACATTTTTGTCTAAATACTATTTTGACTTTAGACAACCCCAAAAACAATTTAGACGCCCATCTATAGTCGGCACTGTAAGATTTATGCAATATTACATCAGCATTGTAAGATTTATGCAAGTTTACACTAAATTAATTTCCTGATGACTATAGTGAGGAGGAAAAAATAAAGAGTAAGAAGAAAGTGAAAGTTTCTGGCAGTGGTAGTAACAAGAGTAATAGTAATGAAAATCATGTAATATCAGTAGTTGTTGGACACCATGTTGTTGAGGGATTACAAACAATTGATGAAGAAGAAGGTGGTGGTGGTGGTGAAAATCAAGATGATATATCTGAAGGTGGACAAAGATACACTACTCATTGGGCTACTAAATGGACCAAAGAGGAAACATCAATTCTTTTGAAGTATGTATTTCAAAAAAAAAATAATTGTATCAAGCTTCAAAAACTAGGTATATCACAAAAAAATACTGCTATTACTTTAAAATGGAAATCTATGAAAAGAAAGATAAAAGATCTATTCAATGTTAATTTTTAGATATTTTTATCACTTACAAACATTATTTATTATTATATTAATTTTTTATTTGCTTTTATCCATTCATCATCAATAACAATCTTTGAAATCAAAAAAATTTCTAAATTGAAATTATATTAATACTTTTTATATAAGAAATACAATTTCTTTAAAAATTAATGTATAGAATAATATTTTTCCTTTGTTGAGACTTATAGTTTGTTAGAATAATGTTAATCAAGAAATAATAAAGTTTCATTTTAGTAATATTATTACTTGTTACTTTTAAAACCATAATATTGAATATATTAATCAACATGAACATGTTAGTAGTACAACAAGGGTGTCAAACAATTTTAGACACTGAAATTTTTGGTATACCAATGTTCACTTTGTCTGGTTTTGTTACAGTATGCCCCAAATATTAGTAGTGGGTGGGGCAGTCAAAGAAGATCTTCTGTTTTATGTTACCTATTTTACATGTCCATATATTAAAATCAATGGTTCTATTTGTAGTAAAAATTGCACTTGAATAGAAGGGTGTAATGAGCATTGGTATAGAAAAAATAAAGGACCAGGTAAGCCATGTAAAATCAAATCATGTGAGAAGTATACCCAAAAAACATCATAATCAATACCATGTAACTTGATTAGCATTTTTAACATAACATTCACTTTCCTTTTCAAATTTAAGCATTTTCAAAGTTTTTGATACATCTTCTGAACACTCAATAAGAGGTGGTTTCATAGGATCCTCTTCTAAAATAAATCCATCGGTATGAACTTGCTTCACTTTATCTTTATAAGGTGCTATGTGGAGAGATATTATTTTTTGTCCCTGAGCTAGTAAAAATGGCACAATTTGAGGATACTCTCCTTTGAATAGATTCCTGGGGTTTGAGAATTGCAAAGTCCAACAATCTTCTCCTACTAGTATGATATTATCTAATATTTCTCCTTCTGGATTTTCAAATAACTCAGGCATACTAATATCAATGTTATAATAAAACTTGTTTCTCTGGCATAACACTCCCCATAAGGTATTGAGAACTCTTTTTGCAATTTGTCCAACAATTTCGCCATTATTTTTTAGTTTGAAGAGGAAATTTATGTATTCTCCAAATATTATTTTACCCAGGATTCTTGTTTCCTTTTCATATACTAGTGCATTTGGAGAACCATCTTGAATTAATACAACTTGAAGTCCCAATGTTTTGGCATGAGATAAATCAATATGAGTATATTTCTTATTTTTACTATATCAAAACAATACTTTCATATCTTCTTTATACTCAACTTCTGCTCAATATAATCCATACATAGCATAGTCTCCATTCTCATATTTTTTTAATGAAATCTTTTAGTATTTGAAACTTTCCTTTGCCAGTTGGGAATGTGACATTTGATTGCATAATACTTGGATATAAGCTAGTTTCATCATACTGTTGGCCAAATCCTTTCCAGTCTTTTTCAGTCCAAATAATTCCACCCATCATCGAGTCTGAAATCCATTTTGCTCAAGAGGATCTAATGGTTCATTGGCACAGATTGCTTTGCTAAGTCTTTCAAATAACCACAATGCGACTTTCTTATAATTGGTGTGACATACAAAAAGATCAATTGATAAACCAAGTTTTTTTGATTCTTGTAATATATTTCATTCTTCATGAATTCTGGAATAAGCATTTTCTAGTGTTTCATCTTTAGCAACTGGAATATAACAGTATTTCCTATAGAGAGATTTAGATTGTAATTTTTGTAATTCTGTAACAGTAATGGGGTGTATGGATTCCCCATTAAATATTTTTACAATGTTATTTACTCCATCCTCTTGATATATTAAAGGCTTCTTTGGATTAGTAGTAGCAGTATTTATTTTGAATTGATCTGGATTTGGTGCAGTAGAATAATGCCCATTAGCAAGTGTAAGAGTAATTTGTCAATGAGTTGGGCTTTTGAAAATTCAAGTTGCATCCCCAACTATGTTAATGGCAATAGACTTGGCTAATTTTTCTACTTTTTCAATAAGATGTACTGGAATAGGATTGCATCTTTCTAGTCCCAAAGTTTGTTTAAGAATATCCGGCTTTTCAATAGTTCTTGGGAGATTTGAGAATGTTCCATAAGTGTAATATAAACATTGATAGAGACATTCATTTAATCCACTATCCCTTTTTGGATCTTTTGAAGAAAGTGCACTCCATGCATTACAACCACCAGCTAATGTGGGAGGATCCATCATGTATACAATAAATTGATTATAAGTTACAGGATCTCCTCCACCTTCTGGAAATTGCAATTCATCATAATGATCTAGTAGTGAAAATAATGATATATCTTCTCCATCTTCAAACCATGAGCCAGGTTTGTAATTCTCATAGGGAAGAAGTACTTGAAATTGATGATTTGGAATCCTGGTTCTAATTTTTTCTATTTTGTGATTGATTCTTTTTCTGGAGAAATTACTGCCAATGAACTTGATTTCAGTAATATAATGACATGTTGGCAAACTTCAGAAGCTTTTATTCTACAGAAAAAAATAAAATAATAATGCAAAGCAAATATCAGTAAATCACATAGACTTAATTTTTTTGGAGTTTCTTTTTTCGGTGTTTATCTAATTCCTTGTACCATTCCTCATCATCATCATCATCTGAGTAAACCTTTTCCCCATTGGTTAGTGCACATTCCTTTTCATTAATGGATGATCCTGGTTTAATAATTAAGGTGGTTCTATAATTTTTAGGAGGAGGTACATATAGTTGGCCTCTTTTTTCATAGTAATATTCATAAATTTTCGATGCAATTTCCTCATCAATAGGATGAGAACATGAATATGTATGTGAATTCTGATGATTTAATAGGTCTCTGTAACCTTGGATGTGCATATGGAGTTTGTAATGGAACAGATCTTTCTGATAATCATATTGCAGATGGTTTTTATGATCTATTATTTCTTTGATGAAAAACCCCAATCAAAATCTTCAGGATCATTACCACATTCTTCCCAATTAGCTTTTATGCCCTGATATAATTCTTCAAGTTTTTTATCCATATAGACAATAGGTTCAGAAGTTGGTTCTGGAGTTGAATCAATAATTTCTGGCTCAGAAATTGGTTCAGGAATATTAATTTCAGATAATATGGCACTCCAGAATTCATCCTCATCTATTTGTGGATGTAACTCTGGACCTTCTAATTCAAGATTAGCGGGTTCAGGAACTGACTCAGAAATTGGTTCAGGAATTGACTCTTTTTTTACTTGAAGTTTGATCGGTTTTGGGGGAATAGGAGGCAGGACTTTTTTAGTGATAGGTGCAGAAGATTTACTGCATTCAGCAGGCGAGTTTAAAGACTCTTCTAGTTTTTTAGAAATTGGTTCATCAATTTCTTCATTCATAGACTTGGTCAGCATCATCATCATTTTCTAGTTCAAGAATTGAATTAGTAGAATTAGTAGTAAGAGGGGCTTTTGCTGGGAAAGATTCTTCTAAAAATTGATCTGTATGAGCAGAGTCCAAAGTTGCCAATTCATCCTCAATTGATTTTTCTGTAGAATTAGTAGAATTAGTAGAATCCGGTTTTCACATAGAAAATCTTTATTACCTAGGTTCTCTTGCATTTTTTCAATAATTTCTCTACAGTCTAACTTGTATGAGTATTCTCTACCATATTTAATTCTTGGACAATAACTTGTAGCATATGGTTTAATCTCTATTCCAGCAACAATTAGAAGAATTAGGTGTTGAAATAATAGATCCCATTGATATAAATGAGGATCCTTTAAAATTGGACTCATAATCTTTTTATTTGTCAATAATATAATAAATGTGAATAATTAATTCTAACAAAGAAAAATAATACTTAAATTATTTCAAGGACTTTTCTCTTTCAAAACAAATGTATTGAAAAGTAAGATCCCTAATGGGTTTCCCATAATAAAAAATATGTGGGCATCAAAAATTTTATCTGAAACCTGATCTATTAGGAACCTTATTGGAAAGGGATCTTATGCAACAAGAATTTGAGTGTTAGCATCAGGAAATTAAAAAGTGTTATTAATAGTATTTATTATATAGCAAATTATTGCTATTTATTACTTATTGCAATAAATAATGGTAATTCAATTTATGTTGTTAAAATTTTTATTGTTATATAAAATTAAAAGTTATTACCTCAAGTTGGCTCTGCAACTAAGAAGTTACAACTTGGGAGGTTGCGGAGTCTTGAAAATGAGATTTTAATATAGAAATCTGCAACTAGTTGCAACTAGTTGCAGATTTTCAAATCAGGTTGCCAACACCAGCTTTATTATTACCATTTAAAGTAAGCCAATATTTTATTTTTGTATAATTACAACTTAATCTGTCTGTGTGATATAATGTTCATTTTGTTTGGAATCTCACATGATTGAATAATTATTATCTGCAATAATATGCCATTTGATTTTCATAAATGCACATTCAAGACTCAATATTTTCTTTATTTGGAATAAATCCTCGTATCTTTACTATATATTAATTTTTTTGAGATTGCATGAGAATAATGTAATTAAATATCACCACAATTAACCCTGTATTTGATGAACATAAAAGATGTTATAAATACCACCATCTTCACATAAAAAACAAGCTAACTGCAAACATCTTTACAATTATCCATTTCAATAACTCAGACTGTTCCTTGACTTTTTACTCATCAAAAGTTGATAAGATAAATAAATAATTTAATAGAACCTAAAAAATAAACCAAGTAAAATAATTAGTGAACAAAATATTTGAAAATTTTTAGTTATTTAATAAGAAAAAGGCCGAGAGGACTCGGATTTTTCATTAGTAAAATGGTAAACTATAAAAAAACTTTTAACAAAAAACAAACCCTAGGAAAAAACGATAGAAGCAATTTAGGAATGCGTTAATAAGGAAAGAATTAAGAGATGGAGTAGGATAACAATAATGAAGAAGGCGAAGAAGATATTAATATTATTAATAATGATAACGATAACGATAATAATCAAATAGTATTTCTCCAAGTGGCTTAGATCTGAGCGTTTTTTCTCCCATGCAATTGATTATAAATTATATTTTCATGTATTAGTTGAACCAAAATCAAACAATTTCTTTTTGTTGTTTAATTATTTCCTTGTATGTAACATGCCTTTGTCTTCAACTATTGTATCTTGCTCAATTAACGATATTTGTTAATAAATTCGATGCTATTATTCTTGAATTTATAAAGGACAAATAAATAAATCGCGACATCCAAGTAATAATAATACTAAGACCATGTGTATAAGAAACTAATTTTAAACAAAACACATAATGTACTGACAAGTGAAAATGAGGAAAGTTGGAAAATGAACCTTCCAAGCCTCCTCTCCATGTAAGACAAGAGTTCCATTGACTTGTCATCCCGGTAGTAGTGTAAAATCATTAGTGGACGAGTCTCTACTTTCCAATTGTATATAGTTACAAATCATAGAGTGAAAGATAAAATGAATAATATTGAATCAAGCATGTTGCTTAAGCATTAGATTTAACAGAACCGTTCTTCCACGCATATGCAATGCGTCTTTATTATCCTGGTTAAAAAACTAAGACTGCCATGTATTTTCCTTTTTGGTAGAGCAGCTTTATATAGCTTTAATAGGTTCACACCTTGGGTCCCCGTGCATGATTTGGGCCTCCTCACAAAGTTGAAAGATCTCAACGGTGAATATTAATTGGTATTTTATTTAATAAATAGTAAGAATAATTATTTATATTGTTTTTCAGATGAATAATAATCTACATTAGGTACCTTTGAAGCTGCGATTTGCCCATAATTTTTTAAAAAACATAAAAATTATATAACGGTTTTTAATGTATTTAAACATAAAAGAGGATTCTATATATTCTTTGAAAAACAAAGAAGCCAAATGCAATTTTAGTAAATTCAGAATCCCACAGTCCCCTCCGAATTTTCCTCATTGCAATGTATCCTCAGGGAGCGAAGTCTGATTGACCTTTTTTGTAATGAAACGTCATCGATCGCGACGAACTATTCCATTTTTATGCTGCTGACTCTGGCCACTTCTATTGAGACAATTATGTTTAAAAGCTAAAAACATTTCGTAAATGTCTGTTTGATGGATTAGAGGAAATGATAATGATAAAGCAATAAAATTTGTCGGTATATCTAGCTATACAAAGTATTACCTTGGGCGCCCGTATACATATCCACCATATTATATAACAATAACTAAATAGACGTATCCGTTAATGAACAAGAAACTGCTTGTTCGCGAGTTTTCGAGAAAATTTTTTATAAAGTTTGATAGTTGCTTATTCCCGGGGAGTTGCCAGTAAACTACAAAATGCGGTGTACGAAATGATTTTTTTAGTTAACATATTCAGCGATAAAAATAACCGAATTTTGCAAATGAATTTTGTTTTCGTTACAATTCACTTTTTTCAAAAATTCGTTTCAAGATTGTTACATTATTTGTTTATTATTAAAAAAAAATTTTTTTATAAGATTTTGGTAATTATCGGCAGCACATTATATTAATTCACTTCGTTTTTCACTTAAAAATAATTTCTTATCAGCAAATGAAAAAAATTTTATGAAATACAAAGAAAGTTCTCGATTCTCCGGATCGTCCTCCTGATGAAATTTTAACTGTACATTATTTTAGGGTGCGCATTTACAAAATTTACTAATAAGTATTTATTAAATAAAGTAGGTGACAATAAATTAAATAAATTATCTCTTCCTCGTCAGCCAATCATATCTTTATAATCTCCCAAGAGAATAATAGAAGAGATACAAGTTGAATAGAATTGATGAAAGAAAATAATGATAATTATTTATTTGTTAAGTTATTATTCTCCTTGATTAATTACTTAAAAAGAATAATAAGAAAGAAGTATATGTTGCCACCGCTGATTAGTATTTGATCCAATTCGATTTGACTACGCAAATTAATTAATTATGTAATTTTTATATTTTTAAAATTTACACACATGTACGTGTATATATTAATGTAGAAATTAATTTATAAATAATTATTTACAAACTATAAAAAAATTTCATTACAACAATAAAAACACAAACACAAACAAAACTCGAAAATGAATTATAATTATGTCCAAATCCGTAGGGTCATTGTCGAGGATCTTTATCATTATTTGTTTTGTTGGGGATTTTTTTTGCTTGTTGATTGTGGTTTTTGGGGTCAGATTGAATTCATCTTTTTGTTTCGAAAATTTGAATGAATATCATTTACTGTTAATAAATAAGATAACATACGTTATCATATAAATTAGGAATAAATACGGACACGGGTAATTTATTATCGCCAGTTTTCTTGGAAGCATAAAGGTCATTCGTATTTGTAGGCACTCCATATTATTATTATCGCACAAAGTGAAATCAGCAAATGCCCTTTTGTTTAAGATCTCGTGATTTAATAAAATTTTTAATTTTACGAATAAAAATAGATCAGATTTTGTATAAATAGGTTGTCGTTTTCCTTTCTCTTCTCTCGCTTGTAAATAATTTTAATAAGAAAATTTACATAAATATGAATAAAACTTATTTTAAATTATTTGCTATTATTTTCGTAATCATTTGTCAAATAGTTATAAATCACAACGTAAACTCATGTCCAATCGGGTATTGCGATTATGAATGTAAGTGTCATTATTTTATCTTTATCATCATATCATCGTTATCACGACAATTTTGTTGATGAAACTTATCGTCTCTTTTTAGTTTGTTGTGGAGGGGATATAGATGATGATTACGAATCTATAGATCATCATGATGCGTCTTATTATGATGATCATGAATCTACATATTATCGTGATGCTTCTTATGGTGATGAATATGATACTACTTTTGTGACTTCCGATGATACTACCTTTGCGATTTCTAACAGGTAAAAATAATGAAATATTTACAAAATTAATTATAATCAATGATAATAATAATTGTAATAATATTATATAGGTTATTCGATAATAAATGCGAAGTCGACAGTTGGTTCAATTGGATATTTAGAAGTCGGTCATTTAAACAATTTTGGGATTTTGATTGTAAATGATCCATCGCCAGCATTATAATATGAGATTTTTTTAATTAAGATTTTTTTCTACAAAATATAAATTTATGTAAATTTAAATAAACATACATATATGCAATATGATTTTAATAAAAATATTTAAATTAAAGTTTTGAACCTCAAAAGTTACGAGACAGTTATAATAAACAGTAATAAAAAATAAAAAAGTGTTTATTATAAAAACTTTATGCTTCTCAAATTTTGAAGAACCATTAGAATATGGAATTCAACTGAAAAAATCTTTTCAAGCAATAAATATTCTGTCTAAATTTTGTTTTTTTTTTTCTGTATCTAATATAAATATATTAATTTCATATTATCGAACACGCTTTTTTATTTTAAGGTATTGTGATTGGCTGTGCCAATGTCCATTATTGTAATCTGTATTACCAAATTAGCAAAAAGGAATAGTAAAACATCATTTTAACATATACCCATTTTATTAAAAGTTGGTGCATTTTATAAATTTTTGCTGACGTTTAACGTCAAATTTAATTTTTTTTATCAGTAGTATTCCTTATTGTTATATAGAAATAAGTCATTTACGAAAAAATTTATAATTAATTTATCTCTGGAGAACACCATTAATCTTACCAGAAATAGGCTTTACTATCCATTGTTAGGCAGATATATATTCATTTATGAAAAAAGTAATTTTTTTAGATAAGTGTTATATATATATATACACATATACATATAAATAGACAATGAATTTATTTGTTTTCCATATAAGGCGACTTTTTTTTGTATATATGAGAATTCCAAATATATCAATTTTTTTAATTAAAAAATACTTTTATGCGTAAATACTTTAATAATATAATACAAACTGTGTATATAATATAAAAAGAATGTAATATATTTTTAAAAAATTCGATATATTTAGAATTCTCATGCAAGATCTGTTTCATTAATTTAAAATTCTCAAGATTGGAATCATTTTTCGGAGTTTACTTACAAAAAATAAAGGCTGATTTAAAATTATCTATCGCGTTAGAACAATATAAAAGTGATATAATCAAATATCAAATCACATCAACGCCAAGAATCTGCCGAGATTTTTTTTCTCATAATTTATATCACACTCTTTTCCCTCCTTCTCGATTATATTTAATCAAACAAAAATGACAAGCATCTTTTCTTCTACACAGGAATTCAATTAATGAATTTTATGCTCCGAATGTAAACGAATCCATACTAATATATGTACCTTGGTGTGTCCTAATTCCGATTACAAAAAACTCCATTTTATCACCACCACCTACAGTAAAAGTGTATTTCAAGAATTGGATAGATTTATCAAATGAATGTAGATAGTTATGAAGATGAATAGAGATGTTGATCATTTGACTATATTTGAATGTTCTGCAATGAATATTCGGTTACACAATATGAATGCTACCAAATCGGTGATGTGACAAATCATTCAATAATTCTTAAATTTTTACAAGTTATTGTATTTTTAAGAAATAGTAGAATCGAAATTTTGGCCTCATTTTGTTAAACTGAATAGAATTAATAATTTCAGCGCCTATTTCATCAGCTTGCTTCTAAAAAGAAATCGGTCTACTTTTCTTTTATACATGATGAAACGAGAAACAAATTCACACTTGGATGTGTTTTAAACTGGTGTATATTTATTTTAATTACAAACTAAAATGTCCAAAAAGTACCACATGGCGAAAATGATAAAGTGCTGATGGTGAAACAATAGTAGTGATGATAATATTGTAAATATTTATTTTTGGATTTTTTTTTTAGATAAAAAAAAATCAATGAAACCTAAACAAGTGCACTGCATAAAATGCGCAAACTTCCCATCTCTAGCAATGATCTTCTTCTTCGTAACAATAATAATGATTTAATCATGAATAAAAAAGTCATGTACAATAATAATTTTTATTTAAATGAACGAATAATTGATAAAATGAATAGTGAATGAAATGAATAAAACGAGTAATTAGAATAAAACGAATAAAGCAGCGAATAATTCGAATAAAATGAGTCATTCGAATAAAACGAATAAAGCAAACAAAACGAGTAATTCGAATAAATCGAATAAAACAGCGAATAATTTGAATAAAACGAAAAAACGAAGAATTCGAATAATGATTTGTGTTACGAATAGAAACTCTACACTTATAAACAAAAACTGAAATATAAAGTTTTAATTAAACGGTCGATTGATTGTTCTTTCACTTGGTCAAAATGTGACGTTAAATCTTTTTCTTTTAAAATTAAATATGGGGTTATAACGAAAGAGGCTAGGTCACATGTCAGAAATACGATTGGGCAGCATAATTTAGTTATTTATTTTTAGTCCTAGAAAAGATCAGCAAAGATGATTATGGTGTTGTATATACGGCGGTTTGGATGGATGGATTGAATGAATACACACACACGCATAACGAAAATAAGAATCAAATTAAAGGTTGTGGGAAACTTGTTAGAATTAATTGAATCGGTTAAAAATAAAAATTTATTTTCTTTCTTTCTCTCCTTCCTTCTTTTCTCACTTTACCAGGTTAAATCACAATGGGGTTGATCAATATAATTTAATTTCTAAATTAGATCATAATGAATCTTCAATACACTCTCAATATTTGTAGCTGTAGTATGTTTCAAATAGATGCTTATAAAGGCGATGTGGCTAAACCATATATTGCTGATTTTTGTATTGAAAGAAAAAAATAATCAGCAATTTGCAGAGTACTTCCTTACATTGCATTATTCGACAAGGATCACACATCGGCAAGTGGTGTTTATAGCATTGGTATTATAATGGCCAAATTGGAAACACTTCCATTTTCAGGTTATGAATTAATTTCCAAGATTTCAACGGTTTTGGGACCTGACTTTGTACCTGGTATGCCTGGTCATTAGTGAGGAAATAATAATTTAATTTTGCTTTTGATCCAAACTATTGATAAAATGATGATGGATCATTAAGTTAGTTACATTTAAAATGTATCTTAATTAAAGATTATGATTATGGACGATTGTTATATTAATATAAAACAAGGCGCGTAAAATCAAGACAAATAAGTTTTACTGTGATACAAGAAATGGAATATAAAGATATATAATATATACACAAAATAAATAAATAAATCAAACCAATAAATGTCAAAGAAAAAACTTAATTTGGTGAAGGCAAACGTGGCAATGATGACAGTAGTGATGGTGATGAAGGTGACAATAATTGTAATGGTGATGGCGATGTTGGTAATGGTGTTAGTGATGGTGGTGATGTTTGTTGTTGCTGATGGAGAAGAACTCTCTCTGACTCCTTTTGCAATAACATCCAACCTTAACCTCAGCACTTCCAAATAATTATACTGTTACTATACCTTTAGCTTCTCCAGATGTTTTTGATTGGAAATGTACAAGAATTATTGCAAACCATCAGCTTTTACTATTACAGTATTCATAGCGATTGACAAAACAAATTTTCCTTCAAGCCTAGATATAGCTTCACATTTTACAATTAAGTATGATTGATTCTTTTGATTTTATTCCCATTGTTCTCTGTCTTCCTATTCTGGTTGGAATTTTTAACTCTGTTTCTTCAACTTCAAATTTCAACTCTTTTCTTAGCAACCTTTTTTTTTTTTGTAGAAGCGCACTGGAATGTATTCTCTATTGCAATTCCTTGAATTTTCATTTAGACCGCATCCTCTAAAACAAACGTTTGCATATATATACCAACATCTACCCTTACTGCATTTTTGGCTTTCAAGTATCCTGATGATCACCTGACTGAAAAAACTTTTTCATCTAATTTGATTGCTGCTGCTGTTGCGATTCCCAATCGTCGAAATGCAGCAACTGAAGCTACTAGACTATCCTTAAGATTAAAAATATGAAATACTCCAACAATTGTTTCTTTAATATTTGCACTTGGAAAATTAATTTCTGCCGTAATTTCTATGTGAACAAAAATTACTGCTTATAAGTGGTTCTTCAGGCAAGTCATCATTTGTTTGTAACGGTTGACTAACTTTGCTTATTATAGGTGCTGTGCACTATTATCATTACCGTTATTAGAAGAATTATTATTATTATTAATGTCTGGTGTATTTGATCGGCTTCTAGTATTCGAAGATGTAATGTTCTTTGCGATGAGATTGATGAAACGTTATCATGTATAGGAAGCCTATTGTTATCATCAGGTATACATGGTGAGTGTGAAGTAGGGCAATATACTACTACTATGATTGTCAAATATCAACGCTTGGACTATTTGATCTACTATCAGGATGTGATGTAGTTAAAGATGTTGTTCCAAATGAATCATTGCTATTGTTATTATTAGGATTAGCATTAGTATTGTTTAATCATTCAACTACGGTTTATCTGTATCGGGTGTATTTTGGTCGGCTACTACCACTGCTACCTACTATTGTATGAGAAGAAATATTAGGTAACAAATCATTAGAACTATTTTTATGTTTTATTATGGCGATTATAAAAGTTTTTTTGGGGCGGAAGAAATTCAGTCGGTGATTGAACAATAGTGGTTAACAGATTTAAGGATTTAGGTAAAATGATGTTGTTATTACAGTTGAAATAACGGGAGGTTATTGTTCTCCTTTTTCTTGCTTTGTTGTAGAAAATTAATTAATTATACAGCATACTCTCTTTATAACGAACGGTCCTTCTGTTTTGGCAAAAAAGGCCGTCATAGGAAAATCATAATCACGTAATCAATTCATAATGTGGTTTTTATTTTTAATGAATAAACATAATAATACGAATACATAAAATATTATTTGCATTAAATATTTTGATAATTTTTTCATGTACCATCGATTTGATGCAAATCAAAATCTTTTATATACATTAACATCACAAAGTAATAAGAAAGTTAGAAGGCTGTTCCTATGTCAAATAATTGCAGTAAAACTATATAGCTTAATTTGATGTGGTACGAATATTTACTAATTTAGCAATTATAATTTCAGATCATGATCGTCAACCATTATAACAATAAACACTTCTCTATAACGGTCTGCACTTATAATGAACTGAGAATTGGATCCCAGTTTTTTTACTATATAAAACCCTACTCTATAACGGTCTACTTGATTAAATTTCCTATAGTGTATAACGGCCTGTCTCCGAAATTCACATATATTAATATGTTTTATAAATTAATAACACAGGTTTAGTCAAATGACCCCAGAAGTGGTTTTCAATTTTAGACTTGTGCAAATTATTTTAAAAAGGTATCCGATCTATGATTTCCCATTTTTATTAAGCAAACAAGGACATTGATTATAATCTTTATGTTATAGATTAATTTGGTCAAATGACCTCAGAGACGGTTTTTGCTGGAAAAGATCCCATATACGAGTTTAACGAAAATCATTGTAATTTTTGACAAAGGAACATAGATTATTCTGGAATTGGTTTCTAAATTTGAATAAATGTGTGTGATTGATCAATAATTTTCAAACTTGGTCCCAGGTCACTTTATTTTAGATGTAGACCAGAAGTCAATTAGTAACCATTTGTTTGATGATGCTGATTGGAGAATGAGAAATATACATGGTGTCTGTTATAAAGTATTTAGATTTATCAACAATAAATTATTCATTTTATTTAAAATATATAACATTATATTGTTTTTCATTATGATAAAAAGATGATCAGTAACTTTATGTTACTAAATATTTCTATAGCTTATTGGAGAAATGAGGGTGGGTAAATTTAAAAAATTAGTTAATATTAAAATTTGATTAATTAATGACAATAATTAAAATACAAATTGATAATAAAAAAGAAATTAATTAATTACATTAATTACATGAAAAGAAAAAAAGAAATTAAATTATTAAATTATTAATATTATTTATGCAAACATTAAGTTAACCTTTATATTTTCATCATCCCAATCGATTCCACTCATTAATTTATGAAAACTATACATACAAGTTCTTTCACTTTCACTCAACTTATTCTCACTTTCAACACTTTTCTCTATAATATTTCTCGCTTTTTCTACAATTAATGTTTTTTGACATGGTAATATTGAATGTTTAAAGTAATGATCGAGGGTGAATCTCATTGTGAAAAATGATAATTCACCAAAAGATTTGTTTGCTAGTTGAGCGTCGCCTTGGAGTGATAATTGGTCGGATAGAATTGATAGGATTTTAAGACGTGCTGGATGATTCGGTGATAGGATTGATGATGTGGTGAAGAATAAATAAGTGTAAATACGATCTGCTAAAGTTTTAGTAAAATCAGTCAGAGGGATTTGTGTAAATTGAGATCTCGAAGAGGAAAAAGAAGTTGCATTGGTAGTAATGATTTTTGTTGATTCTGGTAAAATTAATTGACACCCATCAAACATTGTGGATAATTTTTGTTTTAATTTACATGCTAGATAAATTGATCGATCCTTTAATATTTGTTCTATTGAATAATCGGAAAAATTTGACAATTCTTCCTCTATTTTTACTGTATTAGTGGTGTTGATTGGAGAAGTTGTAGTTGTTAATGATGATGGTGGAATGGTGGATATATCTTCTTCGTCAATATTGACATTATCATTATCATAGTTATTATGATATGTAGTAACATTAGTAATGGAATTTGATAATAATTGACTCTGTCTTGCTGTTTGTCTTTTAATGATTTTCATTGTTTCAACGAAATTTGCCTTAGTTTGTTGATTTTCATTAATTAAATCTAAAGGAGTCGTTGCTTCAAATCCATTTCCGTGAATACTATTATTGTTGTTAACTATTATTATTACACTGTCACTATTATTTATTGATATTGAAGATGCTGAAGACGTTGACCCAACTTTTGATTTATTCTTTTTCTTAATTTTTCTATCTTTATTTTTACTATTGACGTTTTCTTCTTTATTATTATTATCTGATTTTTTTCCATAATAATAATAATCTTCTTCTTCATCCTCCGAAGAAACTACTTTATATAATTTTTGTTTCTTTGACTTATTTCTGTTAATATTAAATGGATTATCTGATTCTAAAAAATCGTCATCATTACCACCATTATTATAAGATCGATGGTTATTTATTTTATCAGTAATAATTTGTTTTTTTTTATTTAATTTTTTAATTTGATTTTTTTTTGATGATAGTGATAAATTTATGTGTTTAGGTAATAGTCTCATTTTTATAAATCCGTATATCAAGATGATGATGAAATTAATGATTTTAGTAAAAAAGTGAAAAAAAAATAAAAAAAAAATTTTTTAATTGAAAAAAGAGGGACAAATACATATATATTAAAATATTTAATATATGCGCGCGTATATTTAAGAATAAAAATAGCAAATAAATAAAGAAAAAGTAATTAGTACTACAAGAAAAATATTATACAAAGATTAATTTTAAAAATATGATTCGATCAATAGTTACAGGTTTAAAAAGAAACTACTTACCATTTTGTATAAGTGGAAAAATGGAGAATAAACATATGTAATCTTTTATTTGTATATAAACATAAAAAGTGTGCTATTATTGTTCATTCTTTTTTCCATAAATTGTAAAGAAAGTTCTAATGATCGACGGTGCAAACCTCTTTAAATGATTTACATGCATTGTCTTGGCTGACGATCCAGCCAAAAACCCTATTATCGGAACAATCAGTCCCGTGTAGAAAATTGAATGCAGGCACAATTTTGTTGATCACCACCAAAAAAATTTTTTAGGTTCTCAACACTAATACTAAAAGTTTTCAAATTGACCCGGATGTCCGTATAAAACGTACTAGTGTTGATATACTAATACAATATTGATATTGAATACTAATATGATATTGTAATATACTAATACTAATACTAATACAGTCAAGCCTCATTTCAGTCAGGGATATTTCCATAGATGGAAATACTAAATACCGTAATGATCGATGGTATGAAAAATTCTAGAAGAAATTC